TGCATATTGTGGTCATATGTGAATATTGTAAATTTCTTTTTTACAATATATGCATTTAAATTAGAAAAAATCCTTAGTATTATTCTTTAATTTTTTGGGACAAAAATATTACTCCCTCTGTCCCATTTTACATTTCTTACTTTTCTTTTTGAGTTGCTTAAAATAAGTGTCACATTTTTTGGAAAGAAATATGTGATTTACAACATTTCACTTTATAATACTCCCTATGTGCCTCTGTCTCCGAAAGAATATCCTACTTTTCCAAAATGAAAGTTCCTAAATGAATGTCCTATTTCTTTAACTTCCTTATTTGGTAAACAAATCTGTATCAAACAATGTCCCTACAATGTCAAACAGTGTCACTACAGGGTGAATCCAAATTCATTTTCTCAATATGTGTGACAGTGTGAAGTCAAACTAAGACATTCTTTCGGGGACGGATGTAGTACTTAAATTTCGATTACAACTTTTACCTTTTCAACTATTTTATTAATAATTGTGTTAAAATCAAATGAGACACATAAAATGGGAGCGGAGGTATTACTATATATATCCCACTAACATTGAGACATAAATAAATAATGCAGTTATTAATAAAAGTAGGTTTGTGTGGTTGATATTGAATTGATAAAGTAAAAATAAAGTATGAATAATTAAATCCATACAAACTTTGCCAAAATTGGTATGAAATAATGTTAGTGGGATAGAATGAAAAAGAAATATAAGTCAAACTTAGTGGGTTGAAGGGATTACTTAGTAACTATTAGTGATTATGATTGTATTCAAATTTGCATCGAAGTAATTATATGTAAGCTATTACTCCGTACTATGTAAACTTTGAACAAAATTATAATCATTAATAGTTACTGCGTATTATGTAATATATTTGTCCATGATTTTTTATTAATAATATTTAATGATAAATCCTATTAAAGTATACTAGTATGATCTTAAAAAAGCGGTCGAGTACTATAAAAACGGGCGATTTACAAAATTTAAACCCATTTGATAGTACCATGTTTTTCGATTTATCAGACTTCAACATTTTCATCACACACATAACTTTTGATTTCACATGCTGAATTGTGTCATAATAAAAAATGGAAAAATTTATAGTGATAATCTCAATTATTGGCGGTCTGCTCATAATAATCTCAACTATCGATTATTTCACAATAATCCCAACTGTAGGGACCTTCCGCCAATAATGGTCCGACGTGACCAACCACAAATAAAATTATATAGTTTCTAAAGTGGATGAGAAGAGATATAGCAAATAATCCCTATAAATAATCCGAACTTTTAATTTTTACGCTTAATTTCTATTAAAAATCAAATGTTATAGCAGGTATTATCTGGTCATGGACCATTATTGGCGGACAGTCCATATAGTTGGGATTATACAAAAATAATCAATAGTTGGGATTATTGTTAGCGGACCAGCAATAGTTGGGATTATTATTTTCAATTTTTCCTAAAAAAATTGCATTGTAGTTACTTTTCTGATTGTATTTTATAAAATTATTGTAGATGATCATTAAATATTTTTATCATAAATCAACGTAATCAACCAATTCAGCCACTTCAACCCAAACTTTATAAATTTCAGCAGAATCTGCATGCTCATACCGTCGATTTAAAAATTACCAAACCGGTTCTTAGTCTTTCATCCCTAATTAATTTAAACGCTTTCCTTTTTCGAATGTCCCTAAATATGTCTCGTTTCTTTATTTGGTACATAAATTTAGCAATTTACTCTACTACACTTGAATCATAATGACAACATAGTGCAAAACAGTCTTAAATAGTGCCAAAACAATGTAATATACAGTAAAATTTATACCTTAGTGAAAGAGGCATTTGAGGAAGTCAAAAAATATTATTTTATCGATATGCGTGCAAGTCAAATCGGGCTTTTTATATGAAGACAAGAGATTTTTATCGATATTATTTTAAAAACAGTAGGTCCATTGCTTCCCGGTTTATGAATTTTCCTTCTCTCCATTAACCGGAACTCTCCGGTAGGAGAGGGATAGAGAGAGGTGGGGAAATGGTTGGGCAGGGGAAAAACGATTATGTTTAATTATTATTTTTAATGAGAGAGATAGAGTGAAAAAGAAATAGAGAGCGTAAATGGAGAGAAGAAAATGGAGAGAAGTATGACTCCTAGTTTTCCATCTCAACCCAAAAGGTATTCTTTTCTCTCCATTTTTCTTTGAAAGGAAACTAAATATTTTATTAATTCAACTTTTCCTTTTCCACAAGGAATACAATATAATCAGGAGGGGAATACAAATGTAGTGAACCATCCGTCATAGAAAGTACAGCGCTAACCAATTTGTGAATTACTCCATTCGCGGACCTCTTGTAATGAATGACATCAATACTAGCTTCGTTACGAACGTTTCATATCTTCAATAATCATAATAGGACTCCCCAATTACATTCAGTCCATCAAACCGGAGACCATACATTGAGAATCAGTTTCCAATATAACTCTTGTCTCTCCATTATTGAAAGGCTTTCGATTTCCTCCTTTGCCAATATGATTATAATAAATTCGTTTGATTTCATACTTCGCCCCAGAATTCAAATTTCAACAGAAATTTAAATGCTCAAGTTTGAAGAGGTCAATTATATTCCCTTATCGCGTTCGGATCTCATTTTTTCCCAGTCAACTTTGGCAAGAAAAACATATACAAAACAATAATTTTGGGAAATAATGGCTTACCCTATTGGGTGCCTTGAGGATGTATTTATACTAAAATCAAGTTTAGGAAATTACAACGCAATCCATGTATAACTACATTATTACACCCCCTCAATCTGTGTAGGGGAAACAATGCGCAGATTGGAACGTAAAAATTCAAAACGCTGACAACAAGATCGCCATGTGCCACCCGCTCTCGGACAAAATGATAATCAATTTTGATGTGCTTGCTGCAGTCATGTTGAATAGGGTTAACCGCTAGATAGGAAGCAGAGACGTTGTCACAGTGAAGTGTGACTGGAGCCGAGATGTAGATGCCCATATCAGCTAGGAGAGACCTGATAAACAGTGTGTCTTGGACAGTATATGCAACTGCCCTGTATTCAGCTTCAGTAGACGACTTGGATACGGTGGGTTGCTTTTTGGACCGCCAAGATATGAGATTGGACCCAAGAAAGACTGCATAACCTGTAGTGGAACGAGAGCTATCTGGACATCCTGCCCAGTCTGCATCAGAATATGCAACAATAACAGAAATATTTCTGTCAGAAGTGAGCCATATGCCGTGAGATGCTGTCCCTTGTAAGTACCTGTAAATTCTTTTGACAGCCAATAGATGAGCAGTACGGGGAGCATGCATAAACTGAGAAACCAGATGAACAGCATATGTAATATCAGGTCTAGTTATAATTAAATACTGAAGAGCACCTACCATACTGCGATACTCAGTAGGATCAGACAAAAGTTCTCCATCTGTGAGAGAGAGGGTGGTACGAGACGGGAGAGGAGTGCGGACAGGCTTTACAGTATGAAGATGAAATCTATGTAAAAGATCAGAAATGTATTTAGCCTGTGACAAAAATAAGCCCTTGGGTGTACGTGTAGCTTGAATTCCCAAGAAATAATGAATATCACCCAGATCTTTCATAGCAAACTGAAGAGATAGTGTATGAATGACAGAATGAACAAACGATGAGGAAGAGCCAATAATGAGAATATCATCCACGTACAAAAGAATGTAGACAACCTGGGAATGAGACCGATATACAAACATGGACGAATCTGACTTACTCTGTGTGAAACCCCGGCTTAATAAAAAACCACTAAAGCGATGAAACCAGGCTCTGGGTGCCTGTTTTAAACCATAAAGTGCTTTACGCAAACGACAAACATGATTAGGAAAAGAAGGATGAATAAACCCTGGAGGTTGACGCATGTAGACAACTTCAGTTAAATAACCATGTAAGAAAGCATTTTTCACATCAAGTTGTCTAACGGTCCAACCCAGAGAAATAGCAACAGATAAAACGAGACGCACAGTGGTGGGTTTAACGACGGGGCTAAATGTTTCAGTAAAATCAATGCCAGCCTGTTGTTTAAAACCCTGAGCAACGAGACGAGCTTTGTGACGCTCAACAGAACCATCAGAAAAATATTTTGTCTTATAAATCCACTTACATCCAACCACATTTTGAGTATGGTCCCAAGGTACTAAATCCCAAGTCTTATTAGCAATTAAAGCATTAAATTCATCAGCCATGGCTTCCCGCCAAACCTCACTTTTATTTGCCTGTGTAAAACAACTCGGATCATCCGGGGGAGCTAAAACATTTAAATTAAAAATTGTTTTGGGTTTAAAAATTCCATCCTTAGCACGCGTACGCATGGGATGAATATTAATAGGGGCTGCCGGAGTCGGTGGAGTGCTGTTATCGGGCGAGGTGCTGCCAGACGAGAAGGAGGCAGGACTGCCGGGTTCAGGCAGCCTGCTGGCAGAGGACAGGTCGGGACTAGGGGGGCTGTCGGCCAAGGGCTGAGTGTTGGGATAATTAGCTGCTGGTGTGGTCGAAGGGGAAGGGAGAGGCTCGGATGTGGGTAATGCAGATGGTGAGTTTGGAGAAGATGGTAATAGGGTGGGGCGGTTAAGAGGTGGCCGAGTAGTGGAGGTAGAAAGCCAGGAAGTTGGGGAGGTAGAGATGGGTGGTGTAGTAGGAGAAACTAGTTGGGGATATGGAAAAGTATTTTCATGAAAAGTGACATCCCTACTAACGTAAACTCGACCAGTGGAGGGTGAAAGACAACGATAGCCCTTGTACCCCGGTGCGTATCCAATAAAGACACAGTGAGTAGAACGTGGTGATAGCTTATTATGAGGGGCAGCAATAAAATTGGGAAAACATGAGCATCCAAAAACTCTCATAAAATTATAATCCGGGGTTTTATTAAAAAGTTTCTCATATGGAGTAAGACCGTTCAAAATAGGTGTGGGAAGGCGATTTATAATAAAAGTGGCAGTGTAAAGGGCATCAACCCAAAATTGACTAGGAACCGAAGAATCAATAAGCATTGTCCTAGTTAATTCGAGCAGATGCTTGTGTTTGCGTTCCGCAACACCATTTTGAGCCGGAGTCTCAGGACAAGATTTCCTAAATAAAATTCCGGATTGTGAAAAATGATTACGAAAAACCTGATTATCAAATTCACCCCCTCCGTCACTCTGAAAAACCTTGATTTTTAGATTTAAAATATTTTCAGCTAATTTTTGAAAGGCACAAAAATGGGTAAATACTTCAGACTTGCGACGCATAGGATAAATCCAGGTATAGCGAGAAAAATCATCAACAAAGCAGACATAATATTTAAAACCAAGGTTTGATAAAACTGGCGACTGCCAAACATCTGAGTGAATAAGCTGTAAAGGGGCGACAGTATCATGAGTAACATCAGCAAAAGGAAGCCGGTGGGACTTGCCCAACTTACAGGAAACACAATCGTGAATAAAAGAAGAAGAATTGGAAATTAATTTATGCTGCCTAAGTCTACTAAGTACTCTATCACCACAATGCCCCAAACGCTTGTGCCAAATTGGACCAGGGACCACACGGGCTTGAAGGGCATGAAAAGGGTAAACATGATCTTTATTAGATGCCTGAAGAAGAAGCTCCCCCGTTTGAGTGTCCTTAACAAAAAAAGAATTTTTATTAAAAATTACTTCACAGGCATTATCCGCACACAATTTTTGAATAGACAATAAATTGTATTTTATATGTGGGACATGATAAACAGAAGTGAGATTTAACGGGCGACCACGAGTAGGCAGCTTTAAACTACCAACATGAGAAATAGGCAATTTAGTACCATTAGCAACACATACTTGATTCGGGCCATTGTAAGGAGTTTTATAAGCAAGAATACCTTCATGCGGAGTCATATGAGCGCTAGCCCCCGAGTCAGGATACCAGACTGAATCATTGTTTTCACCAGTGGGAAGAGCAGCCAGAGCCGGGGTATGAGAAGCTGTAAAACGGGAGCAGTGTAATGCAGAATGACCTGGGGAAAAACACAATTGACAAACAACGGGGGGAGGAGGATACTGATAGGTGGGATCCGCAGATGGAAAACCTGCATAAAAACTATGAGTAGCAGCAGTAGAGTAATAATCAGTATAATTACCACCAGAAATAATATTACACGATGCCAAACCTGGATTTCCAGAAAATGCATGTGGACGCGGCTGCCCCTGAGCCGGCTGACCCGGAAAACCACCATGCTGCGGTTGTGCAACCCCGTACTGCTGTGGGTAAGAGCCTCTACCGCCGCGGCCTCTGCCCCCTCGAGCACGACCAGCCCCTCGCGGTCCTCGGCCACCACCAGGACCCCGCTGTTGACCACCCCCTCGCTGTGGACCAGCCCCTCGAGCCGCTGAAGCTGGAGCCGCAACAAAGGCTTGAGGAACGGATGATGATTCCTGGGCCTGGAAAAAGAGATTTCTCTGTTCTTGTGCTTGAAGAATGGGTCGTATGTCTTCCAGAGAAGGAATACCCGACATGCAGTCAATATTGTTGATGAGGGACTCATAACCACGACCCAATCCAATGATAGCATATTCAATTAAATCACGAGCACTCACAGGAGAATTAATGGCTGCTAGTTTGTCTGCTAAAATTTTTATTTCAAGCAAATATTGATCCATGGTCTGAGTGTCCTTCTTTTTCACATGAGAGAGTAAACGCTTCAATTCAACGGAACGAGAAATACAGGCAGACATGAAACGTTTTTGAAGCCTATCCCAGATAAGATGTGAAAATTTTAAATCATAAACTTCCATAAGGACATCTCGAGCTAATGTAGCAAAAAGCCATGACCTCACAGTTTGATCGATTTTTAGCCAATGATGATAGTCAGTATTGGGAATTTCTTGACGGGATAAATCAGTTATAGTAGGGGATGGTGGCTGAATAGAACCATCCAAAATTCCCAATAAACTGTGAGAGACTAAAAATGATTCAAACTGAGTTCTCCAGGGCAAATAATCTTCGACCTCAGACAGACGAGTTGTCACAATATTATTCACATTCGGGGTAGAAAAAGCCAATTGTGATGCCAGGGGAGATAAAAAACTGATTGAATTATTAAAACCTGGCATGGAAGAACCCGCATGCGGCTGTAGTGGTGCTACCCCGGGCTGACCAGTGAAAGTTGGGCCAGAAAATATTGTGGAAGAGCCTCCGAGATCGTGAAAAACGGGCGGCGGTGGTAAAGAGAGGGCTGGAATCGTCGGGGCAGAAGTGGACCAAGTGAAGGGTTCGGGCATGCCAAAGAGCCGATGATTGTCGAGCGCTGAACGAAAACGCTGCGTTGCCGACGGCGGAGAGCGAATCTGGGCGACCGAAGAAGAAGGTCCAATCGGCATGGTGACGTGCGGCATGGAGAATTGTTGTGTGCTGCTCGAGCCGAAGGAGTGTTGATCGCCGGCGAGCGCTGTAGTGGACCCGAGGATGCTAGCGGAGGGCTGCGCCGCCGTAGCGGGCGCCTCAGAGACGGCGGCCATAGGATTAGGATGACCGGCCATAGGGAGGAAAAATTTAACCTAAGCGACTGATACCATATACAAAACAATAATTTTGGGAAATAATGGCTTACCCTATTGTTTTCGACTCGTGCATTATCTTCACCTTCTTTATTTTCATCAGTTCTTTGACGAAATTGATTAATATAATTATGAGAGACGTTGTATAAAATGATTCTTTATTAATTTACAATTTTCTTTTTCCCAAATTTTCCTTTGACCTCATTTTTTTCATATTTTGTGCATTCGACATGTCTTTACATAATTGCTGCTGGTTTATATGCGAGATTAAAAGTGACAAGTAAAATTGAAATCATAGGGAATATACATGAACTTTTTAGTTAGTAAAAGTTATGAAAGAAGGGAAAGATGACGAGATTAAAACATATAGACAAAGCGTAATTATTAAAAATATAATCAAAACAAAATGAGTACAATATATTGAGAAGGGAAAAATTGGACATAAAATTATACACAAATCTAATATACGCCACTGAAATTTCAGTGGATCAAATAATCACATATACAACATTTTTTATTTCATTTTTAGATGCCCACTAACGATTTATTTTTTCCATAAATAAAAATCATTGGATTTTTCTTTTCTACTTTCTTTTTGTGGCAAAAAATTGTAATAATTTATGTACTTAGTTTTAGAGTATACAATTAGTTGTTCTCATTAAGAATATTTCGAAGTACAACAATGTATCTAATTAAAGTTAAATAAATTCTAAAAAGGTCAGATAGTCTGAAATGAGAATTATTCATAAAAAAATAAATAAATAATGATCTTAAACCACCTCTAAAAATGAAATGTTCTGTATTGAAAGTAATTATATATTTTTTAAAATTAAGAGCCCATTTGGAGACCCCTTTTTTCGGCTTATCAGGCTTATCAACCACCTTTTTCACCAAACACGTAATTTTTACTTTCACGTGCTGAATTGTGTAATAAGCAGAAAAAGTAAGGTTGAAGTTACTTTTCTGGCTGTATTGGCTGAAGTTACTATAAATGACCATTTTAGCCATTTTTACATGTAATTTTTTCTTTATTTTATTAATAAAATATATTTTTAAAATATTGTTTTCTAGAGTCAGCAAAATCAGCCAAAACAGCCACTTCAGTCAGAACTTCATAAATTTCAGCAGAAAGAGCCAAAACAGCCGATTTTCGTGCTACTAAATGGGCTCTAAATGCATCGGACCATTGGTTCAATTAGCTTCTTTGGCAATCAAAATGAATTAATGATGAGAACGAAAAAAAGAAGAAAAAAGCGGGTCTGTTGACGGAAGAACCGAAGAAGCTAGATCGACAATGCATGTGAGTAAAAAAAACTGACCAAAACCAAATGGCCTATCTCGGAACTAGTACATAAGTAGCACTAGGAACAATATTCAAGTAAGGTAGAACTAAGGGTTGTAATTTTGAGGTGCTTCCAAGTTAATTTTTTTGATGAATTTTTGTGGGCATGTTCTCTATGAATTGTGGATTATGTTCACCAAGTTTCACAATAAAATTCAATCGAGAAGTTAGTTAAATAAATTTTTGAACAAAAACTGCATTTTGTATATATAAAAACCTGCTCAATTTTGAAAAAAAAAATATATTTAACCAACTTTCCGATTGAATTTTAATCTGAAATTTGGTGGGCATAGTGTACACTTCATGGAGAAAATGCTCAGAAAATATCATAAACAAATTAAATCCGGAAGCCCCCCAAATGAAAGAGGACCGGACTACGTTTACAATTTTTAGTCATACCTTACAAGAACATTTTCCGTACTACTAGTATGTAACCTTACTAGCGTGTTTTTTCTTGGATTCAAATTTGTTGATCCTGTTTGATTTAATTTGGTTTGGTCTCTATATATATTTATAAATGTCTGTTTCTAGTTTGATCCGGTCAATTTAAATATGATCTGCTCTAATCTGTTTAAATTAAGTTTGGTCTAATCCGGCTTGATCTGGTCTGAGACCGAAAATAGTTTAAAAGAAAGCATCCTTAATTGTCTAGTCATTTTGAAGAAAAATATACACAACTCTTTTAATAAAATTACAACATGTTTGGTAATCATGTTATTCACCTTATTAACCTTATTATCAGTGAAAAAATATCAAATACGTAACTTTTGATTTCACGTGCTGAATTGTGTGATTATCAAAATAAGTAAGGTTGGAGTTACTTTTGTAACTAGTTTGGCTAAAGTTACTATAGAGGATCATTTTAAATGTTTTTCTTTATTTTATAAATAAAATACCAGTATATTTTAATTTACTACTACCTCCGCCCCCCTAAGTTTGGGACAAAGGGGTGTGGTTCTTAAGAAAAAATAGAATTGTGTGATTGATATTAAATTAATGAAGTGTGAATAAAGTAAGAATGAATTCTAACAATCTAACCACTCAAATATTACCAAATATGATATGTGACAAACTTAATGGGATGAACAAAAAGGTAAAACGGGACAAAGTTAAGGGGACGAAAGGAGTATTTCATTAATAAGCAAATCGGCAAATCCAGTCTATTCAGTCAGAACTTCATAATTAATTTCAGTGAATCACCTGAATCGTCTAATTTCAGTTTTAATATCTGGTTAATGGCATATTTGTCCACATAAATCATTTGTTAATTTATTTAATAAATACATTATTTATATATTACGAAGTACCAATTAAACATTATTTTGGGAAAAACTAACTAGATCATAGATTGGGATAATGAATGAATTTTAGTCATACTTAGAATAATTATCTTAAATTTATTGGACCACACACATATATAATTGCCGATATATATAATTGGATACTACATATAAAAGTATTTATAAGAATAATTTTATAAACTTAAAAAATTTATAAGTTTTATAAAAATAAATTAACTAAACTGATTGACTAAGCTAGACACACAAAATGTACTTGGAGGAAGATGTATGGGCTATTGATAATGACGCACATGTGGATGATGTGTGGTTATCAATGGAGTTCACCATTAACAAAGTGGTGAAAGAGATACTTAGAGAATTTAAACAATGTCTAAAAAAGGACACATTTTGGTGGAATGATGATGTGAAACAAGCAATAAGGACCAAAAGAGAATGCTATAAGAAATTGGGAAAAAGTTGAAGCGACGAGAACATAGAGGAGTACAAGGAGGCTAGAAGAAGAGTAAAGAAAGCTGTGAAGAAAGCCAGAGGAAAAGTGAACAAGGAATTGTATGTAAAATTGGACTCTAAGGAAGGAGAAAAAAATATCTACATACTTGCTCGCCTTCGTGACCGTGTGACTCAAGATATCAGAAAATTTAAGTGTGTGAATGATGTCGATCAAATGGTACTAATAGAGGACGAGAAAATAAAAGAGAGGTGTAGGTCATACTTTGATACCTTGTTCAACGAGAATAAAATGCAAGGTATTGATGATCTTACTAGAGTATGGTAAATTGGGACTTCGTGAGAAGGATTCAAACAACAGAAGTTAAAGAGGCTATCATAAAAATGGGGCAGAAGAAAGCAGTGGGCCCGGATGGCATACAGGCCAGTCGAGGCTTGGAGAAGTTTAGGAGAGAAACACATTGAGTGGCCAACACATTTCTTCAACATGATTTGGAGAAATAACAAAATGCCAGTGAGTTAGCCGAAAAGTACTCTCATTCCCCTATTTAAAAATAAGGGTGATGCACAAAAATGTGTCAAATATCGAGGAATTAAGCTTATGAGTCACACCATGAAACTGTGGGAGCGAGTGATTGAGCAAAGATTTCGAAAATGTATGAGAATTTCATTCACCTTCTTAGACAAGTTATGGTGGTTATTGGCTTAAAAAATGCGTATGATAGGGTACCTCAAGAAGTCCTTTGGCGGGCCTTAACTAGAAAAGACATATCATGTAAGTATATCAGTATCATCATGGATTTGTATGATGCTTGCAGTACAAGCGTCCGCACTAGTGTAGGGAGGACCGTAGAGTTCCCTATTACTATCGTGGTGTGCCAAATTATGGATTGAGTCCTTTCTTATTTGCTATAGCTATGGATGAACTTACAAAGTCAATTTAGGAAGATATACCGTGGTGCATGATGTTTGCCGACGATATTGTATTGTTTGATAAGACGCAATCCGGTGTTAAGCAAAGTTGGAATTATGACGACAAACATTGGAGACCAAGAGTTTCAGACTGAGCTGAAGCAATAATGAGTATATGGAGTGCAAGTTTGGTGGAGGTAGAAGTAGTAGCAACAGTGAGATTACTCTTGATGGTAATGAGATACCGGTAAGTGATATGTTCCATTACTTGGGCTCCATAATTCAGAAGGATGGTTAATTAGATGGATATGTATGCCATAGAATCAGAGCTGGGTGGATGAAATGGAAGAATGTATCAGGATTTCTATGCGATCGAGGTATGCTGACTGGACTGAAAGGTGAATTTTATCGAACATCAGTTAGGCCTGCATTAATGTATGGCGTAGAGTGTTGGGCGGTGAAGCAATGCCACATTCAAAAGATGAGTGTGGTAGAGATGCGTAGTTTGCGTTGGATGTGTGGACATACCAGAAAATACCGCTTGAGGAATGAGATAATCAGGCAAAAGATGGGAGTATCACCTATAGAATATAAGATGCAGTAGTCTCGTTTGCGGTGGTTTGGGCATGTGCGTAGAAGACCAAGTGATGCACCTGTTAGATGACTTGATGGGTAGGGAGAAGAGGCAGAGAAGAGAGGGTGAGGAAGACCCACACAGACTTGGATTAGAGAAATCAGAACTGATATTGCATCTTCTTGGGTTGGATGAGACTAGGGCTGGACAAAATGATTTTGATTTGACCAGACCGAACCAAAAATTGGTGGTTTGGTTTGGTTTGATTTTACTTAAGCAAACCGTTTGGTAATAACTTTCTCAAACCAAATGGTTTGATTTGATTTGGTTTAAAACCGAAAAACCGTAAACCGAACCGAACACCGAACAACTCTTTGTGTGTGTGTGTGTATTGTATTTTTCTTCACTCTTTATCTTTAGGATATAATTAAATAATTTAGACATGAAAAGTATATATTAAACATGTATCATTTTAAATTTTACACATTTCATACATTCATTATGATCAATTGACCAAATTAGCTAATGAGACATATTTGTATTTGTTTTGTTTTGTACTCTAACGCCCTAACGGTATGAAAGATATTTGGCGATAACAGTAACAAATTGCCTTTTTTCACATGATTCATTTAAATAAAATTGTGAATATTACAGCATTTGTACTACTAACTCATGTAGCTTTTTTTTTGAATATTTTATGTGATACTCTAAATGCTAATCAACTATAATTTTTTGTTGTTGTGAGAATTGAATCTTTTTTGTAGTGATTGAAAAGATGTTAGAAGCTAAGTTTTAAATTATAATTTTTTATTTCTATCTTTTATTTTCGTTTTACATTTTATTTACATAATAAATAAAAGAAGATGAGTTGGACTCCTACTTTATTCATGTTCTAATCCTAAAATATAGAACTTGATCAAATAAAATAATAAACATAAGAAACTGAATCAAATTGAACTAAATTGTACGGAGTACATAATAATTTTCACTCAAATCGAACTAAATTGTACGGAGTACATAATAATTTTCACTCAAATAATAATTTGTACTGAATCAAATCAAACCGAACTGAATCGAAACCAAATCGAAATTCAAATGGTTTTAGTTTGGTATAAATTCTCCCAAATCGAACAAATCGAAACTGAACCGAAACCGAAGATAACCGAAACATAAACTGAATTGTCCACCCATAGATGAGAGTATATATGACATTGGTGGAGAGAGTAAAGTGGAGGGCGCACATTCGTGTTGACGATCGATGTATTTTCTACCTTTCCTCTCTCTTCTCTTTTATCGTTTATCTTATTTATCTTTTTATATTCTAATGTTATTTTTATCTTTTAGCTTGTTATGCTCTTTTTTCTTTCTATCTTTTATCTATCTTATATTCCTATGTTATTGTTATCTTATATTTATTTATCTTTATTTTATCCATTTTATCTTACTGTTTGTCCTCCTTATTTGTCTTCTCAGTTTGACATCGATATCATAGATCAGTTCATGTTAGCCGATTCTGAATTCTTTTGGGATTAAGGCTTGGATGTTGTTGTTTGTGGTTGATTGACCAAGCTAGGCGGTGTATTTTAATATTAATAAGATAGATTCTATGGTACCCTTAAGGTACCAATTACCATACCTTTGTCCACATGGACCAATCAGAATGATACAGTTGAATTATTTAAATCTAAATTAAAATTGACTTAATGATTTGGACTAATCAAATGAAGGGATAAGGCTCAAATTGGACACTATGGTTTCATCAGAATCTCATATTTGACAATAAGGTTTTAAATGGACCAAATAGACACTATGGTTTCATATGTATCTCATATTGAACACTAAAGTTTCATAATTCAATATCAGTGAGTGTCCAATTTGATCTTTATCCAATATAAGTGAGTGTCCAAAACATATGAATTATGAAACTTTAGTGTCCAATATGAGATACATATGAAACCATAGTGTCTAATTTGATCCATTTGAAACCTTAGTGTCAGATATGAGATTCTGATGAAACCATAGTGTCCAATTTGAGCTTTATCTCATCAAATGAATGATAGATACATTATCTCATTTTTTAGTTGGGTATTAATAAACATGGAGATTTGTCTTTCTTTTTGGCCTACCAAGCTAAGCTGAGTCTCCCTTCCTGGCATGCGATACTTTGACTTTCCCACCCACCATAATGTCAAATATCATGGCATAAGTGTAGTAGTGTGCATATATATACAACCATACATCTCAACATAATCAATCAAGCATTGTAAATTAATTGTTAATAATTAATTAAGAGCCCGTAATAGTAATTAATTAGCCAGTTTAGCATCATGAAGTGCTTGTTTAATAGCAAAGTTGGTGTTTTAGTTCTAGTTTTGCTGGCCACCAGCGCAGCCATAGCACTAGGCCAAGGCACGAGTGTGGGATTCTACCAATCCTCGTGTCCGGCGGTGGAGTCAATAGTAAGAGCGACGGTGACGTCGCATTTCCAGTCAGATCCGACGGTGGCGCCTGGGCTGCTGAGGATGATCTTTCATGATTGCTTTGTGCATGGTTGCGATGCTTCGATTCTCATCACCGGTTCAAACTCTGAGAAAACTGCCCCTCCCAACCTAACTCTAAGAGGGTTTGAGGTCATAGATGATGCTAAAACAAAGCTCGAAGCTGCTTGCCCGGGCATCGTTTCGTGTGCCGACATTCTTGCTCTTGCAGCCCGTGATTCCGTTGTGCTGGTAATTGATTTTTCTTGGTCAATGATAAGTTTTTTAATATGCAGTTATTCAAAATATAAAAGTTATATATATGGAAACGTTCTTTGTTAAGGAATTTTTTATAAAAGTATAAAAACTATAAATTTCACACAAATGTAACAACTAAAATTATTGTTCAAAATTTATTGAGAGAATTCCCTAAATTTCTGCTCCCCAAAACTTAATACTACGTATATTAACGGCCTAAAGGGTGAGTTAGAGCATCGATTACAATGTTGCCGTAGGAATGAAAAGTCACAGATTCAAATCTTAAGAACGATTTCTTGAAGATGCTAATGTGCATTGGATTGTCCTATATTCCTCTCCTCATTATGGAAATGAGTTTGGTGATAACTCTGATATCCATTTAGAAAATGAGGTATCATACACATCATTCATTTGATTAGACTACGCTAAAGTGTTATATTATTTTTAATTTTCATTTAAATAATTTAACTATAATATTTTGATTGGATCATATGGACCGGGGAATCAATTGCCCACACTTAACTTCCATTGGGAAATGACACGTAACCATATAGGCTTATACGTACGTAGTATATAGTACTTCCTCCACATAAACTGATAAAAGTTACAGCCCTTTCGGCCTATACGCACATTACTAAGGTGGGATAAAAATATGAACTACCTATTTTGATCAAAAGAAGCTGGCCAGGAAAAAACTACCGAGTAGCGACATGCTTCAATTATATTGGTCTCATTTGTTTTTTGTACTGCTCATGATTATTTGAAGTTGAAAGGAAAAGATGAACAAATCTGGACATTTGATTTAGAAGTTAAAAAAGGGAAAGTGTTAAGAGGGTTCCATGCTAAAAGGATTTTATAGGAGGAAAAGCCTAGATTTTAATATAACATTTTATTATTTTGCAATTTTCCGGTGTGGGGCTTGAATACCCCTCCTTACGAGCAGACACTTCTCTAGATTGTGTCATAATTCATTTTTCATTGATTCGTCATAGTCACTTTTATATAACTTTGTAGTCATTTTTTATAAGGGGTCCACACCACATTTATGAATCAATTTGATTCCAATATCATGTAAATACCGGAGATTCCATCCTAAAAGATCAATCTGATAGGAAGAGTTGTCTAGATCTTAATACTCCGTATAACATTTTATTGCTTCACAATTTTCCGCCGTTGGACTTCACTTGGTGAAATGTGTAGATATTGGTGAAGGATAAGAATGTTTTCTCTTGGACGGTTTTCAGTCCCAGACCAGGCCATATCAGACTAGATCAGACCAGATCAGACTTCCGTAGTTATAAAATACACAGAAACCAGACGTTTACTAGACGGCTAGACCAGATCAGACTAGTTCAGATCAGACCAGACCAGACTAGACCAGCAAATTTAAAAGAAAACATCCTAATACGGAGTAGTAAATTTTGACTTCCAAAGTCAAAATTGCATTATACGAAGAATTGAAAGAAGTTTTCGTGATTTATATTTTGATGCAGACGGGAGGGTTAAGTTGGTCTGTACCAACGGGACGGAGGGATGGGAGGGTGTCATTGGCGTCCGACACGGCTAATCTTCCGAGTTTCACGGACACCGTTGACGTCCAGAAGCAAAAGTTTCTAGCCAAAGGCCTCAACACTCAAGATCTCGTAGCTCTCGTCGGTAAGCAATTAATCTATATACCCACTTTCAATTCATCAAAGCCAAAGTCAATATCATTAATAGTCTAATTAATGAACATTTATATTCCACATGATAGAGCTAAACAAAAATAATAGGATAGGGGGGTTGGATGTTATTCTTAAAACTGTTTCTGCTTCTTCAAAAAGCAGAAATAGCAGTTGGAGTGTTTGGACTTGGTTGGAAGTGCAGAAATACTTCTGGTGCTCTGGTTTATGCTCGAATCAGTTTTTTTAGAAGTTGGAGGTTATCAGCTTCTGAAAACTGGTTTTGATAGATAGAGAGTGAGACTCCGTCTCCGGTACTTGCAGAGACTCTCTATTGAGTAACCTCTCATCGCAGTTGCCGGGAGTCAAAATCGGAACCTAATCCTTGTGGCACTTCTTCGCTACTAGTTGAGCTACGCCCACTAAAGTTGTACTAGTCAATCTCATTCTGTTTAATCGGTCTTTGCGGATGATATATTATGCGTAGTTTTTGTTGAGCGCCACTAACGAAATCTCAACTATATCTTGGTACTCGTCCTTCACACAATTAGATCATATTTTTATTAGGGAAAATTGAAAATAATAATCCCAATTATTGTTGGTCCGCTGAAAATAATCCCAACTATTGATTATTTTTGTATAATCCCAACTATATAGACTATCCGCCAATAATGGTCCATGACCATATATTACCTCTATAAAAAGTGAATTTTAAATAGAAATTAAGCGTAAAAATTAAAAGTTGAGATTATTTATAAGGATTTTTTGCTATATCTCATCTCATCTACTTTAGAAACTACAAGAATTTATTCATAGGGACCATTATTGGCGGAAGGTCCCTAAAGTTGGGATTATTCTGTAATAATCAATAGTTGAGATTATTATTAGCGGACCGCCAATAGTTGGGATTATTACTATCAATTTTTCCTTTTTATTATTGAGTTAGTCTGCTCAATGTTCACTTTGCCAGCCTATTACTTACGTAGTATTTAAAAATTATAGTTATACTGTGTTGGGTGTTTCGAAAAACAAAGAAATTAATTAATAAAAATTAATTAAATAAAATGACTTAAAGAAAAAAAACAAGAAATGAGATGAAGCAGAATAAGCCAAAGCTCGTGCTACGCACGATTTTTTTAAAACATATTCGTTGCCTCCCGGGGTGCTAGGAGCGTTGCAACGATCGTTTCCCAGGATACGATGACTTTGAACAATAGTTCAGCACTCAAACTAAAGTTCCAACGAACGTGAACAAAGCTCAGAACACAGAAGAGTTTTTATGGAATGCTAGAGGTGGTTTTAGCTATGAAAATATGTGTACGAAGTGTATGAACGTGTGTAGTTTGCAAAGCACCTGCTAACCTTTTATAGGGGTGGATTATGGTGTGTTAATGGTTGTTTAAGGCTTGTGAACGTTGGACATCAATTTCCTAAACGTTGGGCACTGATTCCAGGCATTTATGCTGCAACGTTCCAATTCAGAATGGAGCAAAAATAAAATAGGAACGTACCAGAAGAACAAAAAGTAACGTTATCTTTAGAAGATAGATTTTCGGACGGCATTCGTGTGGGCAGGTCGCCCGCACACGCAAGTCGCGCTTTTTGTTCTTGGGTTTCAGGATTTGATTCGCACCACCCTGCGTGCGTGAGAGAGCCTTTCCCTTTAGGAAGCTTAATTCTTTAGGGGGGTTTCCCTTTAAAAAGGGTTCAAATTCCCTTGTGATTTTTGGTGTGGGAAAAACCTACACTAAAACCCACCTTTTCCTAGTTTTCTCCATTTCAACGGGTAAACTTCGAAAAGCGATTTCTCATTCACCCGTTATCCGTTTTGACCGTACCATATATCGAATTGTAGCCCTAAGCAAGGACAGTCCGAAACCACTTTGACCCGATCCAAATCTGAAGTGGACCCCACTCAAAAAATTGCCCCAAAATGACCATTTAATGCAATTTTTACACACTTTTTCCAACATACTGTATCGAGAAATGATTTGTCAAATTATTATAGATATCATAATGGTAGATTCTATTCAACCCATACCCATAAGATATCATATATTCATATCTTTGTTTGAAAACACCAACATTAATTTTAAGATTTTGAGATGAGAGTCAAACTTTAAATTTAATTTTAAGAAAAATGTTGTTTGTACACGCCAAATCTTTTTTTATCTGTGTATTTTTATTTCAGTAAAGGAAAAGGTTTGAGATTACGAAAATATGAATTTTCCGTGCACAATTGCACAAACAATGATTTTTTGGGGGTCACAAAACCTTAACTTTCAAAAAACACAAAAGAATTGTCAATGCACATATAAAAAGAAAGTGTGTAACTCAGCGTGTACACGTGGTATGATTCTTCGTGACAATTCTCACACAAACAATCCAATTCATGTTCAATTATGGAACAAAAATTCAGACAGTTAGACCCGACTAAGCGTGAAACCGAGCTGATCCGAGCCCGAACATGGGTATGTTTGAATTTGAGTTTGATAAAAATTCACGAGCTCGACCTTAGATGAGTTAAATAATTTGAACTCGAGCCAACTCGAGCTCGGTTCGAGCTCGGATCAAATTTTGTTGATTAACTTTTTTAGTCTTGAGCTCAAATAAGTTGCTCAAACTTGTGCTCGAATTCGAATTAAAAACAAAATTTTCTATTATTAATATTACATTTAAACATACATTTGTACTTAATCGTTCTCATTCTTTAGTTTCTCTCTCCTACACTGACATTTGTATTCCTTATTCTACTATATTAGTAAATATTATAGATTATAATTATTAAAAATGGTTATAATAGTAGTAATAATAAATATTATTTATAATTATTACTACTATAATACTGTATGAGTATTTAAGATGGAATAGTCCTAATTTAGAATAATATTCCAAATATATATACACACACAAACAAAGGCTCGCGAGCCACGAGCCTAAAATAAATACAAATAATTGCATATTTATGATTAAAATAAAGATCATTTACCAAAATACGACTAATGACTAAAGTTGTAATGAAATCACAGTAACCTATGTTCAATTTTTAAACTTAAGTTACCATGACACTACATTGTAGTAACTGAGAGTCATATTTGTGTAAATACATTTTATTTTAATAATACTTTTTAAATAACCCAGCCAAATAAATAGGCTTGAATTGAGTTTGACGAATTTTTCTCGAGCTATCCACGAGCAGCTCACGAACGGCCTGACCCTTAGACCCAAGTACCCAACAATAAAATGTTTGCAACAAAAATTCGTGAACATCTAAAGTACCACCACCATCGTCACAATATTAATAATTATAAGTATTATTACTATAATTAATCAATATCATCAACATCATCATCTTGTTATTCTTATTAGGGTCACACACAATAGGGACAGCAGCTTGCCAGTTCTTCAACTACAGACTATTCAATGCCAGTGCAGACCCTGCGGTAGACCCATCATTCCTCCCCAAGCTTCAGGCACTCTGTCCCCAAGGCGGCGATGGCAACAAGCGGGTGGCTCTCGACGACGGCACCGTCAATAACTTTGATAACTCATATTTCTCTAATCTCCAAAAGGGTCGTGGGGTTCTTGAATCTGACCAGAGACTGTGGGCCGACATCTCTACCAAAACGTTCGTTCAACGATTATTGGGCCTCCCAGGGTTCTTTGGGCTAAGGTTCCCCCTTGAGTTTGGGCGGTCCATGGTGAAAATGACTAACATTGAGGTTAAAACTGGGAGTGATGGTGAAATTCGCAAAGTTTGCTCTGCTACTAACTGATCGTACGTGCATAAGGGCTAGGGGATTTTATATCTCATATTGATGTGATGATTTAGCATTTTACCATTTTAATCATCATATCTCATTATTAAGCATCTTGTATTTCTTTTTGGTACGTTTCTAATTATTGGTTCATCTATCCCTTTTAGTAAGTTTTTCAATCAAAATACATTTTTACCCTCACTTTTATTACCCTTACCTCTTTCTTTTTCCTACTTTATCGAACATTTAAACACAAACCACTACATTTTTTACATTACGCCTACTATTTCCCCGTTAAAATCCGTGTCAAAGCTTAAGAGGCCTTTTAATAAAGAACGGAGGGAGTGTGATTTACCATTTACCACTTTCCTCTTCTTTCATAATTATCGGCGCAAGTTGAAATTGTAATGCTTTCCCCCAAATAAATACTCCATCTATTCCTAATTAATTCACTTCTCACTTCTGATTTGAAATTAGTCTCTTACTTGTCTTTTGTACCGGATGTAACATTATTTATTTCACAAATGAAATTTAAGAATGTTAACTGCACTCTAACAAAGCTTAGAGCATTTTAAATTATGTAATACTTCCGAAAAATTTGTAATTATAAAAAACATACATGGCGTGTTTGGCATTCAGCGGATAACGGGTTATGTTAGCGGGTCGTTAATAGCGGTTTTAATCATCGGGTTTGACCAGCGGAATAAAGTGGTGGATTGTTATACAATACTACGTATTTGGTAATTTAGCTGTTTGACCATAAGATTAGTAGAAAACGTCATTTTTCAAAACGTCAATCCAAAAGTCTTCTATTAGCAGCGTTTTCATTTCAGCGTTTTTGTTCAAAACGCTAGTGCCGAACAACTATTTACCAAACAACTTTTTCACTTTTTGAAAACGCTAAAAGTGGTCAAACCGCCATTTTTCGGCTAAAATGCCGTTTACCAAACACCCCCACAATCATGGTGTGGGAATAACTTTTTATATACACTTTGGAATAGAACTAATTCCACTTTTGGTCCTATGAGTTTTATGTCATTTCCACATTTAGTCCACGTCTTTCACTTTGTCCATTTTTGGTACTTGACTAATGTATCTTGACCATTTGTTGTCCTTTTCTGGCGATTTTAACCACCGATATTATTGTCGGAAGGACCATATATGGACAGAAACACAATAGTCATGTACCAAAAGTAGTCAAAATCAAAGACATGGATTAATTGTGGAATATACTGTTTCTATACTACGTATTACATACGCAAGTTTGAAGTACTTATCTCACATCTCATTAAATGCTGGGGTATTTAAATTATTTTGCACAAATAATTATTGGTTTGCTCATTTGTACTTTTGAGGAAGGGTATACCTCGAAGGTACATAGAAAAAGTTGTTTTAACTAAGACACTAGTCATTCATATTTAGAGTTGATTTGCAACAGCTTAAAAAAATCACTTCTCAGCTTTTGGCTTAAAAAAACACTTATTTACCAAACACTACCAACTTTTACTTTTAAAAATCACTTTTTTCTCAAACACTATCAACATTTACTACTAATCACTTTTTCCAAATCACTCCAAAAGTAGGGGTGGGCAAAAATCCCGGTCCCGGTGTCCCGAACCGAAAAATCCCGATACCGTTCCGAAACTATCCCGATCCATTTAGGACGCAATTTTTTCATCCCGAACCGGTCCCGCACCGATATTGAACGGGATGGGACTAGGATAGCTATAAAATATCATGTCCCGTCCCAGTGTCCCGTTTGAAATTAATATGTTATTTTAAATTCCTAATGCTATGTAATAGTCAAACCCAATTAAAATTTTCTAGTCCTTAGTCTCCTTAGTGTAATTTTATCTTATTTCATGTCTCTCTTAGTCTCATTTCTTTTGTTTCTTTTGATTAAAATTTGTTTACTTCTCATTCCAATACTAATCCATAATATATTATTACGTGCGGAATACTATTTATGATGGAATAACTACTACTCCAAATTATAGTGTTGTTATAGATTTAATATTTTCCAAAATAACTACTAGAAAATATATATATATAGTGTCTTTATAGATATGATATTCAATTTAATGTGGTATTGAAAAATTACAAGTGTACTACAAAGTATAAAATATTTTGCGCTACTACTATACTAGAGGAAACACAAGATTGGGGGACCAAAAAAATTTACAAGACAAAATTGAAAATAGTTAATTAAAGGTTTTACTTAACTTTTTGGGAACCTAAATTTGCAAAAATAGTTACATCTTTATATTGATGTTATGCTTATTTTTATATCACATTTCAAAATTCATATTTCATGGGACATCCCGAACCGTCCCGGTTTTTCTCGGGTTGTCCCGGTCCCGTTTTAAATGGGACAACATTGGGATAAAGACTTATCCCGTACCGAACCGGACCGTTGTTATAAAACCGGGACGGAATCGGGATAAGCCAAATCCCGGACCGTCCCGGACCGTGCCCACCCCTACTCCAAAAGTGCTTTTTTAAGGAGAAACAGTTGCAAACACTCCCTTAGAACTTAGCTGCAGGACGTAAAAAGTACGAGTAGTGGTTTAAGAAAGTTGATCAAACTTAGATAAAAATGGGGATAAGAACGTCAATTTATAACATTTAGTTTTGTTATAATTTATTTAGTTCAGTTTATTTTTGGAATTTAAGGTATGGAATTTCTGATTTTCCGATTGTCACGACTTTTCGAACTTATATAGCAAAATAGATAGTTTCAAACTTATTTCCAAAATAGAGACATTTTTCTCTATTATTGTGCCATGTCACCACTCGAATTAAATTCAGTTTCCACACCATTTACTTTCCACATCATCACATATACATTATCATTTTAAAATCGGAAAACTGTCAAATAGGTCCTTGAACTTTCATAAAAAGTCAATTAAGTCCTTCTATAGGAGACTTTGTCCGGTCGTCGCGATTTGGGGCGGTTCCCGGTGGAATTTTTTGATGAATTTTTTTAGCATCTTATTCATCAAGTCTAGTTTACTCATACCAAATTTAAGCTAAAAATTTAATCGGGAGCGCATTCAAATTAATTCGAGAACGCAAAAATGTGCAGTTATCTTCAAGAATTAATATGAATGTGTTCCCGATTGAATTTTTAACTGAAATTTGTTATGAGTAAACTAGACTTGATGAATAAGATGCTCAAAAAATTTCATATAGAAGGACAGAACCTCCTATAGAAGGACTTAATTGACCTTTTTATGAAAATTCGAGGACCTATTTGATAGTTTTCCCTTTTAAAATTCTAAAATATTAAAAAGGGGGGAATGATGTGAATCGAAACCAGGCTGTTCGTTATGCACACCGTCTCTAATACCACTGCACCTCTCCTATTGCATGTTATAATCTTATGTTTAAACGCTCTTCTTATTAATAATAATAACAACAACAGTTGTTGTTGTTGTTGTTGTTGTTATTGTTGTTGTTGTTGTTGTTAGGGAGAAAGACAAAAAATGACACTAAGGTTGTTTGCGAAATTCATATTGGACACTAAACTTTTAAGTTGACCAAATAAACACACAATCCAACCTTTGACAACACATTTGGACATTGACCAACTATCACTAACTTGGGTTTACCTGGGCTCCAATATTGAAGAACATCTGTGAATATGCTCGATCACTAGGTTTCTAAGTAACTGCATTTCTTCTTTGGCAATTTATTCAACTCCTAAAAAATGAAATTATCCTTAACTAAGATTCATATATACTCCGTGTATTGTTTTGTTGCACTTAAAGTATTAGAAGGACTTTGGGATGATAGGAGTTGATGACTTAACGTCTTAACCTCCGCTTGCAACGAGGATCTAAAAGGGATATGATTGGAATCCAAAAAATATATTGAAATTTGTAGATATCAAGATCTACTATGGCCTATGAAAGAGAGAATTTACTAGAGTAGTTTGTTTTGTTTAATACGGAGTGCTTCATATCTAGGAATTTTTGGAATTTCTCCTCGTATCTACACGTGTTATCCCAAAATCCATGTGAAATAATGGCACGGGTCATTTTTATCTTAAAATCTTATAATTGCCAATGAGGGTTATGGCATTTTAGGTATGAAAAAAATGTTGGTGTAATCACCTAGCTTAATGGGATTGTACAATGTGCTCTTTTAAGGGAATTTATGTTTTGGTTTTATTTCCGTCTGCTCCGTTCCGTACTTCCGTTACCTTCGTCGCAAGCTAGAGTATTAACGTCTCACTAACTACAGGATGCCATTACTAAATCGACTGGAGATCTGGAGCATTCTCAGAGGAAACACAGGCACAAATGCACAATTGTCTCTCACCGTCCTTGTTTCCACATTTTCTTGTCGAGTAAGTAGTCTAGGTTGCCACATTTCATTTACGTGAGTTTGCCCAGGGTGTAAATTTAGATATTTATACTTTAAAGCTTGTATATCAATTTTTTGTGCTTAACAGAATCCTTACACGTTTTAACACACCAACTTAATTTGTTTGTAAATTTTATGGTCTTTCAGATATTCATTAAAATAACACCATTCCAATTGTTGTCCAACATTTCGAACTCTTATCAATATATGCACTCATGTCGTCTGCTGGATATCCGAATGATCATTAGCTCTTATTGAGGTTCATAAGAATGCCTTTCACAGTTTCACTTGCTCGATGAAATGCTTCATCGAAATTTTGCTTACTATTCATTTATGTATTAATTTTTAAGCATATAGGCCTATAGCAGAAGTACTTGAGAAACTTTGTTAGCTCGAAATGCTCAGATTTTCAACTTCACTTTTCAAATTTGGAAGAACCCAAAACATTCAGTGAACATTCTCTTGTAGATATATGTTAAAGAAAGCATTCTTGATGAACATTCTTGATTAAATATAATTTTTTTATTTGATTTCAGTGATGAACATTCTTGATTAAATATAATTTTTTATTTGATTTCAGTTGCATCATGCATGTATCTTTTACTAATGAAACGACATTTTTCAAAACTAAACTGAAATATAGATGTTCATTGATAACTACGGAAGAGGGGTGTCATAATAGTTACTCAACAAAATTTTGGAATAAGAATGATAAACTAATACATGTCTTATAGTGCTCATTAGTAGCTCTCGATTTTTTAAAGATCATTTACAAACAATTTTTATTTCAGTTATTTAGATGAAATGCTTAAACTAATACTAATAGTCTTAAAGTTTGG